ACCAGCGCTTCTACCAAGTAGCCCCTCGCTGTGCACAGGTGCCGGCCCCCCTCCCCTCCGCGGGGGGCTGTCCCCCGCCCCAGCACCCCTGTCCGGCCATACATCACGCACTAGGTGTCGCTAACTTCTTCGTCTGCACCTGTACAGTCTGCTTCCGAGCACCCGCCGCCGACCCGTATACTGAACTCACTTAACAGGGTGGTGTAGACTAAGGAAGCCTGAACTCCCTGCTGTGGTCTGCACGGCTGGTCTCCGGCCACTCCGCGGGCAGCTCTGTTTTCTCCCAAAGACCACTGATGTGCATTTGAATCCCCTCAGGAAGGCCAGGGGTGCCTTTTATTTTAAAAGCCTTAGATCGTCCGGCACGAGCTCCCCTCCCCCCACGTCCTTACAGACCACCAGAAGCGGAGACTTTCTCAGCACCTGATGTCAGCCACGCCACCTGGCGGCGCACTCGAGAATCCTCGGCCCCAGGTGGCCCCGGGGATTGACCCTCTGTCCTTGGTGACTTGTATGCCTATGACTTATCTAACCTCTGTAACAACCACAGAATAAAAGTTGGTTTTGAGCTTTTTATACCCCGAGTTGCTGGCTGCCTTCATTCGCATCCGGACAGCACAGGTGGCCGACCCCGCACTGCATCTGGGCCTACGAGCCTGCCATGGGTGAGCCGGGCCCCCCCGCCCCGCTGCCCTTCCTGAGTTCCCGCAAACCTGACCCAAGTCTGTGGCCTGCCGTTCACTTCTCAGGGAGCCGTGTGTGTGCAGACACCCCAACCACCACTCATGGGCGTTGGGAGGATGGTCCTACAGAGATGCACTTACAAAGCCACTCAGTTCTCACCCAGCACCCCAGATCAGCTCTCCATATTGCCAAGAAACCTCCATGCACATTTCTGGTTTCAGTTTCTCTGGAACCTGGCTGGTCTTGGGAGCCCAGCTCAGAATTTGTTACCCTTTAAAATTCAATCTCATAGTAAACTTTTTTAAGAACAATTTCCATGTCATAAAGTAAGTTTTCTGCCTGATAATGTCATTTGAACTATATCAGCAACCACCTTGACTCGCATTCCCCCGGAAGCTGACCAGGACAAGGACTCTGCACAGGAGGGTTATTCGGGAACATGAGTCCCAATCAGGGAATGGAGGGGGCCTGGCAGTGAACCCCAGAAAGAGGACCTTACTAAGGGGGTTACCACCAAGGGGAATTTAGGGCTCCGCCCTGTGGGCACCCATCAAGGAAAGCCACAGAAGGAGCCTCGGCTTGTGCAGCTAAGGTGCAAAAAAGGGACGTTTCCCTCCACCAGCTCTTGCCCCTCGTGGTCAGGGGTTGTCTGGGACCGTCCAGTCCCTTGCACTCCCAGGTGCGCGGGCTGAGCGGCATCCCAGGTGGAGGTGCGCTCCCAGGTGAGCAGCATCCCAGGATCCCAGGTGGAGGTGCGCTTCCAGGTGAGCAGTATCCCAGGATCCCAGGTGGAGGTGCGCTCCCAGGTGACCAGGATCCCAGGTGGAGGTGCGCTCCCAGGTGAGCACATCCCAGATGGAGGTAGTGGAAAAGCAGCAAAGCTAATGTAAGATGCCATGGGCTACACCTGTACGCAGATGGTTTCCATAGCAACAGCCATAGCACACACATCCCCCCCCACACCATGGAACGTGAGGCTTGAGGCCAGGATTTGAAAGATGCCCAGCACAGCAACCCCCCCCCCGGACGAAACTCACGGAGGCAGCTGTTCATTCTGGACTTCAGTCCCTACGATCAAGGGGCAGCCTCCAAATGTGTCCCAGTCCTGAAGACTGCAGCTTGGCTTGGGTGTGATGCCAGGAAGGACACGGCGCTGGGGACCCACATCCTCCCTAGCGGGTCAGAGCCCCCAGTGGCCCCTGATGCCCTCCCCATCTGCAGACTGAGCCTTGCCTCCCTTCCACAGCTCAAGTTCAGGAGCAAAGGGCAGCTGGGGTGGAGGCCAGCTCCAGAGGTGGGGGGTCATGTGATGACATAAACTGGCCTCATTCCAGCTGTTTCCAGGGGCCACATGAGCACAGGGGTCAGGGTCCAGCCTCTCCGTGCTGGGAGTGGGGTGACCCATGTCCTTCCCGGAGCTGACTTGCCCCTAACTCTACACTTAGGAGAAGGCAGTGTTACTGCAGAGCTTTTGGAAAGGGGATCCTTGCATCCGGATTATGGGGACTCTGGGGGGGGTCTCCCCCATCCCCGCACTGCCCTCCCTGCCCCAGGCACAGGAACCCCCACCCCCCACAGAGGTGTGAGCGTGCAAGTGAGGCCACCAGAGGGTGAGGCCAAGGGAGGAGGGTGGGAAGTGCCCCTGGAGACGCACACACACTGTGTCCTGGGGCTGACGGTGGCCCCTCCCCAGGCCAACCCACCCGACTCACCTCACCCAGATGATCAGCCCCCAGACGCTACTTCTAGGCCTTCCTGGTGCAAACAATCCGATGCGGGGACCCATGGGGCCCCCTCTGGTCGTGGGCAGCAGGTGCACGGCCGAGCTGACCTTGCGAGGGAGGACACGTCAACGCACGGAACGAGGCGCGGGAAGCCGAGTCGGGTCTGTGGGGAAACCGGGTGCTGTGTGGAGGGTTTGCTGGACACCCGGGTGCGGGTTTTCCTGGCACACAGGCAGCTATGTCAAAACCAAGTTCAGAAACGACAAAGTTGTACTTTTAAGAAGCCAGCCCTGCAGTCTGGGACGAGGGGGAAACGGGTCTCCCAGCACCCGGGTTACGACATTTCCAGCCTGAACCATCCCTGCTCCGCACGCTGCCTCAGGGCGCCCGGAACCATCCAAGGAAGAGATGCCGTTGAGGTTTCCATCGTGCAAGGACAGTGGAGCCCAGGGAGAAAACCCGCAGGGGCAGCTCTGAGACCAGGGTAGCCGGGCAGTCATGTTTGTACAGAAGAAAAAAAGGAACGTTCGAGGTCGCCAGCTCAAACCCACATCCAGCCGAGAAATCCCATGTGTCTCCACCAGCTGGCTTACCCACCCAAGCAACCTGACGCTTCCCCAGCGCTGACCTGGCTCCTGAGTGGGAACCGGGCCCACTCGGTCAGAGCTAGGACCCCGCAAGCAGGTTGGGACCAAAGAACCCGGATGGCGTCCGAGATCCACTTGAGACACAGTCCAGCGTGACGTCTATTTTTAGGACAACAGTCAAGGGTGAAATGCTTCCATGGGGTTGATGGAGAACGTGCCGTCCCTGGGCAACCCCCCAGAACATGCGGCCACTTAGGGACACAAGCTGGGGGTGCTTGGAGCAGATGGGCAAGAGAAGCAGAGAACGTTCAGGGGAAAGGGCCGTGAGAACTCAGAGCCAGCCCTGCCTTCTTCTACGAACCGTAGAACAGGACACTTTTCTCCTGCACAGGCTGCAGAGACAAATCCCAGGGCCTCATTGGCTGGTGGCAGGTGTCACAGACCGGGCACCAGCAAAGGTATCATTAAACCAGCTTGATGATGCACGGATTCGTTTTCACTCTCCAATGGGCTCCGCTGTGGGACTGAAGTCTGAGGCCTCTGGATGGGCTTGGGTAATGGGGTGTCCGAGTGGGGAGCCCCAGGCAGAGACAGGAGGCTGTGCCGCGCTCCGTCCTGTAGGCTGGCTCACGCTCGCACCTGGAGAACGTGCACCACACAGGACCAGAGGCCGGCCTGGGGGGACCCCCAAACAGGCCGTGGGCCCTCAACACAATCACTGCACACCTCCCCAGCCCCCCACAGTAACGACTCACAAAACATACTGCTTTCTTACTAGCCTCGGCCTCATGGTGCCCTCTATTATGGACTGAACACTTGTCTCCCTGCAAATCCGTCTGTGGAAGCCCAGCCCCCCAGTGGGACCGTATTTGGAGGTCGGGCCTTTGGGAGGTCATGGGGTGGGGTCCTTGCGATGGGATTAGCGGCCTTGCAAGGAGAGAGAGACCAGAGCCCGCTCTGCCCACCATGTGGACACAGTAAGAAGGTGGTGTCTGCCGGGGGAAGGGGGGCCCGGCCAGAAATCAGATGTGCCAGCCCCCTGAACCTCCGCTTCCAGCCTCCAGAGCTGCGCGAGAGAGATGTGCCCAGCCTGCGTTTTGTTCCAGCCGCCCACATTGGCTGAGATACCCCTTAAATTTCTCAGAAAAACCATTGCCTCACAGCCTCCTTGTCTTAGAATCTGCTTGTGACAAAGCAGCCCACCCACCAACCCCTGGAAAGGGGGCTTCTAGGTCAGTAACTGCCTGTGAGACCCCAAACACACCTGAGCAGAGACAGACCTTCTAGATTTCTATTCCTGGAGCTCATTTCATCGAGACAACAGCAAATGGACCAATCTAAATATTCTGAAATGTCTAAGGATTCATTGTAGCTTTAAAGAGAGAAGTACCTTAAGCTCCCAGCCACCTCCCAGGCGCCCCCCAGCAAGGGGTCCACCAGGGGTGAAAATAAGGTCAAAATCAACAGTCTCCACACCAAGGGTCTCCTCATAATACTTTTTAATAATGTGCGTAGCTCACACGGCTGCAACCAGTATAAAAGCGGTGATTCTGGATTTCGTATAAATTAACAAGCCAAGAATCATGGTGACACATCAACACACGAGTGCCAAATGGTAGGACCAAGGAGAGACCACGGTGAAGAAAATGTTGGCAAAACGTGAAAGTGAAGCAGGTACCACGGCCAGGTGCCCACGCACACCAGGCGCCACGGAGCCCGGCCACAGGCTTCAGCGAGGCCAGGATGTTAGGGAAGGAGCAGCACGGCACAAGGGTCCTTGGGAGTCATGGCTCGGACGAGTGTTTTCTGCAGGCGATTCACCTGGGCCTCACGTCCCCCACGGTGATGCAGACGGAGGAGCCGTGCCCGTGGACCGCTGAACACACCGCTGTTGTTGCCCCCGGACGTCCCCCTGCGTGTGCAGCCCAGCTATGCAACTTCTGACCACAGCACACTGGGTCAGCCCCGGCCCGCCGTGGACCCTGGGGCTCGGGGTCCCTCTGAGTCAGGCACAGCACCCAGATCTGGTCCGTCTGGGCGTCTTACAGCTGCCGATGTCCACGGTCTGCGGCGGCCCCTGGGCTCTCTGCCGCAGGATCACGGGCACCACCATGTCGAACAAGGTCTCAAACAGCAGGTCCACGTTGTACCCGGTCTTTGCGCTGGTCTCGAAGCACATCTGCTCAGCGGCCGGCACATCCTTCTCGTCCAGCATCTTGTACTTGAGGATCTTGTTGTAAAGTGCCGCCGCGTCCTCTGGCTGCACCGGCTTGGGCACTTTGGGCAATCCACCGCCACCCGCCGTCCCGGGGCCATGCCCTTCCCTCTCCTGGCTCTCTGCGGCCCCAGCCTCAACGAGGTCCACCTTGTTCCCCACGATGGCGAAGAGGCAGTCCGTGCTGGCCGTGTCTGTAAGTCCCAGGAACCTGTCCTCCAGCTCCAGCAGGCTCTGTGGGTGGTTCACGTCGTACGTGAGGATGACCGCGGCCGCACCCCGGCAGTACATGGACCCCAGGCCGTGGAACTGCTCTCGCCCTGGCCAGGAAGACGGAAAGAGAGACGCGGGTTATCTCTCGCGCCAGGACGCGCCCACCGACCACACCGCACGGCAACCCCAGCAGGACAGTGGAAGCGGACCCCGAATGCACATGTGGCTGAAGCCAGGCCAGATGGAGACACTGGCTTGCACAAAGGAATGAGGGGCCAAGGCCCCCATGGGATCCAAGGGCAGTGCCCTTCTGCTCTGGGAGGCTGCACAACAGCCTGGTTTCCAGGCAAACCTTTGAATTTTACTCCAATGCATGTAATTCAGAGAAAGGGTCATGGGCTCATCCTACTTGGGTAGAAGGGGATCCCTGACTAAAAAGAAATAAAGAACCTTTGGTCTGTGAGTCCTTAGGAGCATGGACTGAAGGCATGTTACCTACACACATGTATTTATTTAAAACGTGTCATTTGCCAATAATTCACTGTTTTCAGCCAAATGACCAAAGAAACACAATGTCTACCCTAACTCCCAATCATTCTCAAACAGCCCTGACACAGGCCAGGCTGCATCCTCACTTTGGGGCAGGCCGGCTGCCCCCCGTGTCGGCCCTGGAGAGAGCAGCATGCCGAGAAAGCCGGCCCGGGCCTACGCCGGACCGCTGGCTTCCCCCTCGCACGGAGCTGCACCCAAAACCAGGGCCCCCTGCCCGTCCAGCAAAGCCCCAGTGTCTCCCCAAATGATCCAGAGGGGAAGGGGTGCTGAGAAGGGGCCACCAGGGCTGGCAGGGGTTGGAGGCAGGCATCCTGCCGAGATGCTGAGAGTCGACGTGATGTGCCAGAAAGCAAGTCTCCGAGGGCCACCTGCTGACCAGCGGCGTGCACCCCAGAGCAGCATGCCTGCCCTTCCACACCGACGGCAGGGCAGTCCTGGGACAGATCATCTCATTACAGGTTCATGGCAAATGACCCTGCCTGCCGACGGGCAGAAAGTCAGCAGCACCTCCGCCCCCCGCCCCATCGCTTTCAGGACCCACCCCAGGAGGCGATGATCAAGGAGTCTTTAGAAACAAATGTGAGGGCACCTGGGTGGCACAGTCAGTTAAGCGACTGCCTTCGGCTCAGGTCATGGTCCTGGAGTCCCGGGATCGAGTCCCGCATCAGGCTCCCTGCTTGGCGGGGAGTCTGCCTCTCCCTCTGACCCTCCCCCCTCTCATGTGCTCTCTCTCTCATTCTCGCTCTCTCAAATAAATAAATAAAATCTTTAAAAAAAAAATAGAAACAAATGTGAAAACTGGAAGCAGCAGGTATTAGCTACAAAGAAAACCAGGACCGGCCTCCCCACCATCAGCCCTGAGCTAGGACTCCTCCATCAGACACTAATCTCATCTTGAGCCAGCGATCGCGGCATCGTGAGGTTTTCCAACAGGAAAAATGCTTCCAGCCCCCACCCTAGCTTTCACAAGGCAGCGACTGCGGGAGAAGGCGGTGGCATTCCAGCCAGGCCGGGGGAGGCTCTCCAAGTCCGCTGCACAGTTCGCTGGGGACAAACAGGCAACTGTGCTCAAGCCTGGACCTAAAATACTTTTCCTTTCCAGATAAAAATGTCTGATCTGCCTTTTAAAAACGAAAAAAGTACATAATATTGATACAAGGAAAAATCATAGCAACTAAGGAAGTAGGAACCAAAGAATCCCATATGCTGGCCTGACGAGTCCATCGGAGCCGCTGCTGCAATCCCACAATCCGATAGGCCCAGGCACGCATGCAGACCAATCGACTGCAGTCACCGCAACTGAAGAATTTACAGTGAGGCCGTTTGCATACCTGAAATGCTTAAATTCTGTTTTAGATCAAATCTGCAGCGTGTAGGCTGCTTTCCCATGCGTGCAGTGCCCATCACGGGGAGGGCCCGCAGCGCGGGGAACAGAATTCTGAATTTAATCCCAAATGAATTCAAGTGGGTGCCCTGGTATTTGTGGCATGAAGACCACAGCGAAGATGTGGGGGAATCGGTAAGACTTGCCTTTTGACAGCTGGTTCTGCCAATTCAGTGAGCTTGAACTCAGACTCTAGTAAGTTTTCCAGCGATGTGCGGACATAGCTGAGCCGCGGAGTCAGGCTCCTACTGCTAACCCACGATAAGCGTCTGCTCCTGGTCCACGCAGGGGTTGTGCACCAGCTCCCCTCCCATAGTCTCTCTCTCTCTCTCTCTCTCTCTCCCCACCGCGTTCCCCAGCCTGGGGCCCCACACACCAACTCCAAAGCCCCGGGAATTCCCGTAGTCCCCCTCCTTGGCCTCACTGAGGAACTCAACAGCCTCATGGTGCGATTCTGGGGGCGCCAGGGCACCAGGCTGCCCCACCCCAGCCCTGAGAGGGCTGGGGGGAAAATCACGAGCTGTTTCAAGTTTAACCAATGCAGTTGCGTGTCAGCAAGCGCCAAACCCTAGGCCGGGTGACACGGCCAGGCTGCCAGGCTTGGCAGGCCCCTGCCGTGCGGCCTGCGAGCGATCCGGGGGGCGGGAGTCCAGGAGAGGGGCCCAGCCTCCTCCACCTCCAGGAAGCAGCCTGGGCTCCCCTGCGGTGGGTGGTCCACAGGGCTGCAGGTTGGGAGCCTGTGCGATTGTCCAGGAATTCTGGCTTCATCCAGGAAGCAAGTCAAGACGTGACCCGTTTCCCTGAGGTTCCCCCACATACTCACATTTGTAGATCTTTCCTTTTTAAGGCCGAATAATCTCCCATTGTATGCATGTGACACACTTTCTTTATCCATTTATCTGTCAAAGGACATTCAGGGTGTTCCCATACCTTGGCCACTGTGAATAATGCAGCAGGGACACAGAAGTGCCAATGAGCCAGTCCCAGGACGAATATTGCAAGATGCCACCTATCCTGGGGCATCTAAAATAGCCGCATTCGGAGATGCAGAGACTGGCTTGGTGGTCGCCGGGGCCTGGGGGCAGGGGAGAAGGGAAAGGGGGGGAGGGTGGGAGAGGAAAGGTTGGGCTAGTGACCCAGAGAAGCTGGGTCAGCATGAGGACACTGGACACACCCCCGCAGCCTTCCCAGCAACCACACAAAGGCGGCCCTCCCCTCCCCACATCACGGAGGGAGAAACCGAGACCAGAGCCCAGAGCTGGGACCCCGGCCCAAGTACCAGGCAGTCTGTGGTCTAACCACCTGTGGCAGAGCCGGACTCTGGGCACCACCATCTGCATCCAAGTCCCCACACTGTGACATCAGGCGAGTGCCTTTGAGCCCCCATTCTAGTCGCCAACCAGTGGCCAGTCCCACCCGAGGGAGGCTGTGAAAGTGTAAGTAAGGGACACGGGTAAGCTCCCAGGAGTGAGCCTGCTCCTGCTAAGCCCTCAGTCAGATTCCTCCCAGATGAAGCACCAACACCTCCCTGGACCCCGTGTCCTGGGCTCTTGATCAGACGTTCACACTCCGGCTCTGAGAGCCGGGTGGCCACCTCTGCCGCTGACCGATCCCATCCACCAGTCTTATTTTACGAGCCTTCCTTTTGGAGGACGGCCTTCTCCCCAGTTCCGGGGCGTGTTACCAGATCTGCCGCGCTGTATCCGTGGAGCTGAAAACAGCCCGGCAGCAGGCACGGGGGGACACGAGTCAGCCGCCCACACTGACCCCAGGCGGCTGCTGGACAAGCGAAGGTAAACTGCTCGACTGCCTTCTCTTCCATCCTCGGCCGCCTCAGCCCAAGGACCACCGGCCCTTGACCCCGAAAACAGTACCATTTCTGCTTAAACGGTCTAAAATAACCAAATGGGTGGTGTGGCCATCAGAAATCACAATGCCGGCTGCATGGTTTTTTGTTTTTTTTTTTTTAAAGATTTTATTTATTTATTTGACAGAGAGAGACACAGCGAGAGAGGGAACACAAGCAGGGGGAGTGGGAGAGGGAGAAGCAGGCTTCCCGCGGAGCAGGGAGCCCGATGCGGGGCTCGATCCCAGGACCCTGGGATCACGACCTGAGCCGAAGGCAGACGCTTAACAACTGAGCCACCCAGGCGCCCCTGGCTGCATGGTTTAGACATGTGCATGTTCTGTTTCATTATTTCTAAAATAAGAATGACGCGGGGACCCGCCACCTGAGAGCACGTGAACCAGGATGTGACTGGGGCGTGGAGGGCTTGGGTACCAGTGTGATTTGAGAAGCTCCCTGGAGAATGCACGGTGAAGCCAGAGGGGAAGATCCCCACCTCGCTTGGTGCAAGCGAGAGAGAAAAAGCCAGTTGTTAACATATGAGAATCAGAAGGCTGCCGATTCAAACAGTAAGGTCTACCAGGAATCATAGACACAAACACAAAAGGGGGTGCGAGGAGCGCAGAGGGGCAGAAGAGAGAGAGAGAATCTCCAGCAGACTTCATGCCCTGCACAGAGCCCAACGCGATCCTCGATCGCACCATGACCCTGAGATCATGACCTGAGCTGAAATCAAGAGTCAGACGCTCCACCGACTGAGCCCCCCAGGCGCCCCGAAGGAGGAACTTTTAAAACAACCTGCAAGGTCTGGAATGCCCACTGGACAAGAGTTCACAAAAACACCAATGTGACCACATGAAAAAGACAAAGAAGTCAGATCACAGAACCAGACACGGGAACGGGGAGCAAATGAGGGGCAGGCGTGCAAACAGCCTGGGGGAGCCCAGTCAGGGCCGAGCTGGGCGCACCTCCCTTTGAGATCCTGTAAAAACACAATCCTTCTTCCAATGCTCTCAGGTTCCACTGTGGTGTTATAAATATGACCTGTAAGATTACTGTAGCTCTCTTTCGTATCACTGGGTGTGTTCTGCCTCAAGTTTACCGTCCCAGGCAAAATCTAGAACATTCCCACCTGTCTGTTGGTGTTTCTGAACTGACAGTGAGCCTGGCTGGAGAACGGCCCATGGAAACAAGTCCTCCCAGGAAGGCTCACAAATGTTTTAAGCTCCTTCAGCGCATTAACAGAAAGGCAGCACGTGTCCCCCCCGGGTGATGAAAGGACCAGCCGCCTCTCCCGGTGTGTGCACACGGCAGAGGCAAGGACG